TTGCTGAGGCAAAGTTTCTTAGAGCAGAGAAATAACACAGGCTAAGAAAAATGCAACACTTCATATGGAGAGGCAGATATATGACCTATCCAACTTTGAAAGCAGTGTCTATGAAGCCTGACCAAAAATTTGAGCCATATTTTATAGTATGAGGATTACTCATGCAGTGCTGAAAACACCACAGAGATGCTCAAAAAACATCGTTTTCTTTCCAACTTGTACTTCCATGTAAAAAAGCTGAGTTTGTTAGCTCCCCTAGTAAAATTATTATTGAATGTGGAGGCAATTACAAATTCCTATTTCCAAAAGTCATTGCATCTGTCTGGCTACAGACACCCACAGAACTGTACGTTTCTCTGTGTGTTGCTGTCTGTATCACACTGTCTCTGCAAACGTCCCTGTACCCTGCTCCCTATTCAGCCATTCTTGTAGACTTTGTCTCCAGCACCAGGGGGTAAAAAAAGTCGTAGGATGCAGGATAGCTGAATATTAAAAAGCATCTGAAACTACCATGTCAAGGAGCAGAACGGGGTCACAGGATAAAAATGCAAAATCACTGTTTACAGCTACAAAAAGGCAGGTACTTCATGACAACAGCGTCAGTAGCCAGTCACAAGACAACTGGCTATAATTAGGGGTGTCTGTGGCACTACAGAGCTCAGCTCCAGATAATCTATGTGAAATGTCATCAGACCTCACAGACAGCTCCGTTGTAGCTATGCATTAATTCAAGCTTCTCAAAGTTAACTTATTTTCTCTGTACGAACGTTATTGCTGATGAGGTACAAACAGGATAGAGCCAATGTGCATTAACATCTGTGTATCAAATGGATAGTCTTTGAAGTTGTACATGGTATATGCTTTTCATAATCACACTCTTCCATCATGATCAATTAATTGAATGTACTTCTAAAAGCAGGAAAATAATGGAGGTTTCTGTTGACACTGATGTCAAAATAATGTAGTATCCATTGAGCAGTTCTGATGCATTTAAGCATTCTAGTTTTGGCTTGACGTAGACACAGAGTTGGATGGATTTTATGACTACTTGACCATAGAGATTACTGTGAAGCATTTGTTCAAGTGCTCTACTGAATCAGAGCCATGAAAGTGGACATCTGGCTTTAAGGCTTTGCTGAAAAGCAGCAGGCTTTTCTAAGTGCTTTGTTGAATTGCCTCAATTTATAAACCTCAGTTAAAAAAAAAGAAGTTAATATAATATACCATCATTGGTTTTCCGAATCAAGATATTTCTTTGGCTGAAATCTGGAACAGCAAGGAAAATCTAAGATAAATTAGGGTTCTGCCACATTCGAAGCAATAAGAGTCCAGAGGCATACTTGAAAGATAACATCTGTTTCAGCTGAAGATACCAATTCATCTTGATGAGTAACAGATTGGAAAAATGCCATTTAAATAAAAGATGGTTCTCATAAGAACAGTACATACCCAAATGCCAACACAAACACTGAGGCTACAAAATCCCCATTAAACTAACCCCAAAATGGGTGGAAGATGGGTGGGAACAGTCACCCAGTGGCTTCTAAGAAATTACATTTATAGGCTCTCCATTTCTGCAGGCAGAGCCATTGCAGAGGCCGTGCACTAGCCACATCTCATTGCAGCCTTAGAAGCAGGCACGCAAACCTCACAATGATTGTGTACCAGAGGCTCTGCCCTTGATGTTTGTTATGCAAACTGCCACCAATTTTGGTGGTTCCCAGCATATTCCCACGCGCCACAAGAATAAAAAGGAAAATAGCAATGGGTAGGTTTTTATGATCCATCCTGAATTTACCATCTCAGCCCAGGTAATTTGAGACCACCCTTGGTTACTGCAACAGTCCCTAGGTACATGACGAGCAGCTTAGCCCACCTCACTCACAGCTTTCCACTTCATTCTACAGAGGCATTTGAAAACACCCTCAAGGTGTATTAGCCCTTTTAAATTCCTTATACTTAAGTGCTGATGTCTCTTAAATAGGCCCTGTCCTATCAAAGAGAGCTAGAACTAGGTAACCTCTTGGCATCACCACTGCTCTGAGGCAGGAGGGAGGCATTCAGCTGAGATGAGGAATCCCCAAGGTGAGACCAAATGCGAGCAGAAAGGTCCCCTGGAAGCCTAGAGCACCAAGTTGGAGGTCCTGGTCCAACACAGTTTGTGCGCTTGATATGGCAAAGCCATTTCCCTTGTTCCTCAACTTCCATCTGAAGAATCAGTGTCATCCTAGGTACCATCCTTTCCAGTAAGCAGAGATTAATGGTTGTGAGCTGCTCCAATACTACAGTGAATACATACTGGAGATGGGTAGGACAAGTCTTGAAATAATCATCCACAGCTTTTATGTTGCCTCTGCCATCATGAATCTTACACCCCTGCAGTAGCAGCTACCATTTATTTAGGTTTATGTAACATTTCCTTTCATTAAACATCCAAAAGAGATCCCACTGGTAGATCAATGGCAATGGGAAGTGAGAATAACTGTGTAATGGTAAGTGATGCTCCAGCATAAATAGATCTACCAACATCACCAAATGCGGTACGAGCATGGGGTCCAATCCTCACTCCTGGTGAGTCCACAAAGTTTTTCAGCAAATCTCTGGGTAGCAAAAGGCCACCTCTGCCTTTGGAGTGACATCATCCACAACATGTACAGTCAGCACCTACATTCAAAGCATAGCGTGTTAACCTGCAAAAGCTTTTCCAAAATACTCTGCTGTGCGGTGGGAGAGTGATAATTGCTAGTGATTCCTTGAATCGTTCGTCTGCAGTGAAGGTCCTACTCTATAACCTCCTCTAACCAGAACATGCTGATAGGATGCTAAGCCACTGCTGGTGAGTTTCATCTGATTAGCAGAACATTCTTATCACTCTCAGAAGCACAAATCCTCCCAAACTTATCTACTTCCATTATCTGTATACCAGGATTATCCGTTACTGTCTCCAACTCAGAATGATTTTATTACTAGTCTCATTGAAAGAATATATTCAAAGCAAAAATATTATTCCAAAGTGATCAGTTTTCTTAGCAGAAAAAGGCAGTACCTCTTATGGCTTTGAGAATAACAGACTGACGAAAGTGACCTGCATAATTTAGACCAGAAAGACAACAGGTGCCTTAACTGATTACTCAATCATAGTCAGAGAAAATAGGGAGTGTTTCTTTTTATAGGAAGCCATTAATAGCAATCATCTCACGGTCTGAAACCTTTGTTCTCCCTGGCCATGTGTTATATATACATATTTAAAAGTAGGGTAATTTTGAAGGCATTTCAGAAGTTCAGCAACCATAAATAATGTCAGCCAACCTCTCAGAATAAAGAAATCCTGGGACCACGCCTGACACATTTACAAATTTGTCTAGTGAGACCAGAACAAGAATCAGTGCCACAAAAGCACAGGTCTCTCCCATGTTGCCATTTACTGCAGTATTTAAAACTGTTACTCCCTGCTAAATATGTATTTAATATGCTAAGAACATGCATAAGCACAACAGTGAGATTACATGTGTGCAGATCTACAGAAGTAATCTTTCTAGTGGTGCAGAACACATCAGATTTTGGCTAAGATTTCTTCTCAGTAAAATGAGAGAAATTTGGTCTTTTAGTGCAATGTAGAGGTGTACCAGAGACCTCACAGCTCCACATATGCTGGGCTCCCTGTATTCTACATTGAAAATCCCCATTCCAAAGAAGTCTTTCATTTTCACTTCTGCATCTGCCTGAGACACCGCAAGGTCTAGCAGCTGGCAGACCTTCCTTCCCCCTCCTGGGTCTAAGGGGAACTCCTCTGCCATGCAAGTCTAGGAAGACCACAGCTAGCTTGTTATCCAGGATGATTACTCCTATCAGGAATCTTTTTTCTCCCCACAGGCCAGTGCAGGATAGGGCCTCCATCCACATACACTAACCCTTCCTGGATTTGATTCTCAATCAAGAATATTTCTGCCTTTTAGCAGTCTTCTAATGGTTATCTGGACACCTGTAGGGCAAAGCTAGATAAAAATCACCTTCTTAGTTCCAGGTTACACAGCATTTACCTCCTTATTCTAGGCACACTGCATGCCAAGCATTTAGTTTGTACAAGGTGCAGTACTTCTAAAGAGAACAAATGAAGTGACAGACACTGAATTCTGGAAAAACATTACACTGCAACAAACTACAATAAATAAGATTAACCAAAGCACTCCAGCATCTCAGTAGCCCTAAGTCAGTGGGATTCAGTCATGTGCCCTGGGTGAAGCATTGATCTACGTGGGGAGAATGCTCTGTCTTCATGAAACTAAAACTGCCAGAAGGATTGCACAAGCAAGACGTTGAAACACCTTTGCAGCCAACCCCCTTCTTCAGAAGTGCTGTCAGCAACGTGCAGCTCCCACAGATACCTGTGCACACTCCCCAGCTCTTCCAGAAAGCACTATGCATCCATCAGGTTCTCTTGACTTCAGGGAACTCTACAGAAGAGCGATGCTTTTTGGATGAAAGCCAGAGAAAGGCCAAAAATGCCAACAACTGTGTGAAATCTATAATTTCATGCTGTGCTGCCCTTACAGCATTTCTATTTTGAAAAAATTTATTAGTGAATGTACATTTTTTTTGTTGGATTGCAAGAAAATTTCACATTTATAGGAGACATACAAAGAAGAATTAAAAGAAATAAAGGAGCTGATAAGCATCAAATAGGTAGCTTTTTTAGCAGATTTATTTATATAAAAGATAGTATCAGTGGTTTCTTGTCAAACATTAAGCATAACATTAGAAGCTGCAGATTATTCACGTAATGCAGTGTTACACAAGCACTGTGACTGATCTCAAATCAGGATCAAAACAGTGAAGCACTGTGTGATGATTACTCAGTGCCAATAAATAATTAGGACATTTCCATTAAAAATAGCATTGTACAAATCTTTATTTTTTAATCACCTCAACACTGTAGTTAGTTTGCTTTCCAGCCCCAATTAAAATATACAGAGATAATTCTGATGAGCGTATGTTTAAGTTTACATCCTGAAAACCCCAAATTCTGTCTTCTTCATAGGTGCATTTAATGCTGCACTGAGACTGAGGCCCAAAACCAGTCTTGTGTCAGCTGGATCAATAATTCCATCATCCCATAATCTAGGGAAAAAAACAAACAACAACAAATCAGACAATAATAATTAAAGGAAATTAACATATAGAAAGGGTAGATTTTCAAGCACATGAAACTGGAAAGAGCTATACTAAAGAGAGTGGACTAAAAAGCTAAATTACGCTTGAAGTCATGGAGTTAATTTACCTTAACGATCAATGCAATAGACTAGTGTGTATCAACTCCGTGGAATTTGTCTTCTAGAACACAGTATAAATTTTGGATAAATGAACAATGTCAGGTCTACATATTTTAAATGAGATTCTTCATATTTATTTTTAGTATGAAGTCAGCACCTTAGAGAAAAGAGACCCTCTTTGTTTTTTAATATTCACATGGAAAATGAGCTTTTGTCAATGACCTATATTCTTCCATTAAGAATGCTACTGTTCTAAGGAATATGTCACATCATTATTTACGTTATTCGGGTTAGTTCAGCTGCCAGATGAGGACGATACTAGTGTTAATTCTTTCATCATTAAAAGAGCCAGAGTAAATTTCAAGTATTTCCAGTATTTGTTGTATATATTTCTTCTGAAGTCCATTTCTGAACAACTGTAAGATAACACCCTCCTTAACCCAGTCCTGAAGGCAATTAAATTATGAATGAGCAAACACTAAACCCCCAAACTCAGAAACACTTGTAAATAGTCTCTTTGATATTACCCAAAAACTTAAGTACTTGTGGCATCTATTCTAAATGACACCTCCATCCTACCCAAAATAAAAATTCATGTCAAAACTCCCAGCAGGCCACAAAACTAAGTATTGTGTAACTACTACCTCCCCAGCAAGATACGCAAACAAGATACCACAGTGCTCATTGCAACCCAAGGCTCACTTAAATAAGCATGCACTTTAATCAGGGTCTGCAAAACATATGCACAGTATCTTTGGTTAAGATAGTGATGCTTCTCCTCCATCCCATCCTTCCCTAAAGAGACTTATTTTACATTCTTTTTTGAACTTCCTTCAGTGTTGGCTAATGTTTAATTCTTTGCCTGTGGAAAATTTAAAAATACAAGAAAGAGTGATGAATAGGGAACCAAGACTAAGTCTACCAAGAGAAAGCATAGCCATTCCTTTCTAACTGAAGTTTCCAACTGCAAATTTCTTTTTCTTTCGAGATTAATTGGAAAAAATCTAATTAGACAGGAAACAATGTATTTTGCACTCTTCTCTCAATACTAAATGTGCCAACCTCACCCCCAAAAGAAAGAGGACTGCAAATGGTACATAAATACATGCTGATAAACTCAAGGCAGCAGCAGACACTTCTGAGTGTTTTCCATCCTTGCTTTGTCATTTGCTGTGAAAGTAATATTCAACGAATCTGATAAAAATATTAAGAGACTGACAATGTATTTTTTTTTTTTTTACAACAAATACATGTATCTATCCTAGGATGCACAAAGTGAAACTGTAATAAAGGACGCCTGTAACAAGATGAGGCACAAGGGTTCAGACTTGGCTTAGGAGTCTGTTCTCCAACTAGCAGAGAAAAAAGAAAAAAGAGACCCAACTCAGAGAGAAGGTTCTACTATAAATGTATCTTACCATGGCACCTCAAGTAGCGGAGACTTACCCTAAATGGGGCTCAAGACCACAGCTCAAGTACAAAAGGAGCAAGGGGTTTGGAAAAGGGAAGACTTTGCTGTTAATTGGGCAAAATTACACTGTTTCTTCTTTGGGACTGAAAACAAAAGCTTGATTAAAGAAATTTTACACCACAGCAGCTGTGGTAGTCACTGACCTGGCTGACAGGTCCCAACTGGCGTACAAAGAAGACTGGAAAAACAAAAAAGAACTTCTTTCAAGGAAAAAAAAAAAAAGAAAAAAGAAAGAAAAAAGAAAGAAAAAAAAGAAAAAAGAAAAAAAGAAAAAAAAAAGAAAAAAAGAAGCTATAAATCCAGATTACAAATGTGAGGAAACTGTAGCTCTACTTAATCTGTTCTCATTTTAGGATTCTCAGTATCTCCTTTCTAGCGGGCTAGTAAGCCATATGTTGGAATATTCTAATAGCCATGCTTGCGTCTGCATGGCAGTGGTACTAACAGCAAATTCTGTTGCAGAAGACACAAGAATTGCCTATACCATATTCTGGATAAAGTGCATGGTATAAGCTCTTGCAGTCTGATTCCTGTGAATAACTCCTTTCCTAACTGTAGCTTTAAATTGTAAGTAAAAACTCATTAAAATATTATGGCACATTTTAACAATACTCCATTGAAAAGAAACTCAGAGTAAGTGCTTCTTACCATACAGCAAAACCAATCAGAAGCTTTTTTGTTCAAAATAGCCAAAGGACCATCTATAACTTGGTATTACTGAGACTTACTTAAGATTTGTTTCAATTCTTTTGTTTTTCCCCGAGACAGTGGTTATACCTGTTCATATAATCTAGCATGACAGAATGGCCAAAATAGATTATTTCCTATCCTTGAAACATCATGAAGTATGCATTACCAAAGTTTAATGCACATGCTTTTCTTTCCTGCTTCTCGTATTTTAGCTCTTGATTTAATTTTGATTAATACAGTCAGATGAATCCTGCAGAAGGGACGGAGAAGATCCCTATTAACAGTGAAAAGGAAAGTAGTTTTCTGAGATCAAGTCAACAACAATCCCTTTTTTTTTTTTCTTCGGACTGTAAAAGAAACAACTGTAAAAACAAATACTGTAATTTCTAATTTTAAGCAAATTTGGGTCTTTTGACTCTTACAGGTTTGTTTGCTCTGCAGATCAACTTTTTTAAATGAACATTTGCAATTAACTTTTTTATCTATGAAACACATTGAAACTGAATGAAGGAATTTCTCTTAGCAAGTGTTTAATAAATCTGTTAGGGGTCTGGAGAGGGAAGGGATGAACTGAATCAAAAAGAATCACCAACTTAATGCAGTATCTGCCAAGCCGCAACTTCATAGTGACTACCACTGTAACAAATACTTCTAAACATGGAGCATGTTTTAATGGCAGATTTGGGGTTTTTTGTAACAACACAGTTAACTTATATTGACAACCACAAAACTTTTATGTTGCATCAAGCTGCTTTCATATGGTCACCCCTGGCTTCTGCTTCTCTTTGTTTAAAGAAAACTACATTCTCTACTGGATGTAACATTAATAATTAAACTATCTATTAAAAGCCATTGCTAGAACATGAGTCACATCTACACTCATAAAATATTTGTAACAGAGACACCATGAGTAAAAGAAATGAAATCCACCAAAAGTATATAATTTGTTAAGATGCAAACTGCTGAAATCCTTTTTAGAAACCTGTAAGCAAATTAATGTAACTCATTAAAAAGGGTGCTGCCTAATGACTGCTGTTAATTAAGACTGCTCACTGTGAAAGGTTCTATTCAAATAATTGATTAAAGCTTGAGTAGAAAATACAACTGTGGGGAACAGTACTGACATCCTGTATTTATAACAAGTTATAATTTATAAGCAAAATTATATAAGCAATGTAAACAGGGAAATTTGCTTGTATTTTAAGATCATTAGGGCATTTTCCTTCTATCTCATTATTACTGCTAAAAGCTTGATTCAAAGCCTAATGAAGTCAACTGGAAAGGCTCACATCAATCTCAACAGACATTAAGGCTCAGGTAGACTGGTCCCGAATCTTTGCAAGAAGGCAGCATGAGGGAGCCTCCAAATGGGCTGCACTGAGCAGCAGTACAGGC